ATTTGGATCCATCGCTTTTGATGGATGAGCCATGCAGTCTGTGGTTGGGCTGCAGACTGAAATTGCATGTTTAATGGTTCAAAACAAGACTTTTCCATTAGCTTTTTCCAAACATGCCCCCTGTAGTCGGAAATACGGCTCACCATTTTTTATTTGATATTCAATTATCTACTTTGAAAAATCATCGTTCCAGCTAAATTTTGGCGAAAGTTATTCAAACCCGAACACACATGAACCATCCTCCTAATCCGTTCGTTCCGAATTCATCTGTGACATTAAACATATCGAAATCTCAAAGAGCCTTGGATCCTTCAAGGTACCCTCCCAAATGACCCCTGGTTTCGGAAAAACCTTTGTTGACTTTCCCTGATTCCACGCTCTTGAAGAATTTGACAAGAATAAATACGCTTGATTTAATTGGATATTTGCTTTAATCAAAAGGAAATCCGCCTAAGCTAAGAGGCTTGGTTCGCGACTCAAGGAAAAATCTGGTTGAATCAAGGTTTTCCTACTATCAATGTTTTAAGAGTCTATCCTCTGTATCCAAGAGACTCTTTGGTCCAGTTTAGGTACTTTCGTTTAGATACTGTAATCAACACAAGCGGATGGATTATTCAAATGGATAGACAAAGAAGAGCATATATAGAGCACATAGGGAACATGGAGCGATTTCATTAGTTGAAACGGGTGTTTGTTACAGACTGAGAGGGAAACTATGATGGACCAACTGCAGGGTCTCTCGTGGGTTGCCGTTAGTTAGTCTATCACTTACCTCCTTTATCTATCGCAACCACCCGCCTCCACCCGATCCCATAGGATCGCTCCATTTCCAGCTTGTCTTCTTTTGTATATCGCTTTGTCTATCAATGCCAACAATCAGCCCGGAGAAGATCACGAGTCCGGAGAATTGAGAGGCGCCGAGAAAAAAAGAAGTTATTTTAGAAGCCAGCCCTGCACTCCCTCCCCCCTCGCCTGGGGGAAAAGAGTTCTCCGGGAGCAGGCCCGAGTGGAGCGACACACAGTGGGTCGAGTTAACAGAAGAGGTTGGATATGAAATTTTTTGCTAAAACTGCAAATTTTGATGTTGATTTCGTCAAATTTTAAGTTTTGAAGAGTGCTTCTGGAAGAAAATTGTACAAGGAAACCACTGGCAGGGTGTCCAGCATCAGGATTTTCCCGATTCTATCAGGATCTAGTCCCGATTTCATCAGGATTTGAGGAAAAATCGGCCGTCCGATCGAATCGATCTGGTTCATTAGCGTGTATTAACATCTTCATTGATTCACACTTGTTTTTAATCTTTATAACTTAATTTTAGAGTTTTGCTTTCGCATACGCTTATGCAGAAATTTTAATTTTTTCGCAAAAAAGCAGGATTTGGAAAAATTATGAAATCAGAATTTAGCAGTAGGAAATCAGGATTTCTTCAGGATTTCCCTAAATGAAAAACAACTTGACACCCTGAATGGAAGCAATTTTCGAACCCTAAAGTTTTTATGGACGGAGTTGCGAGCGTTCAAAGTTACCAAATTTTGTCCGACCTCTCCTATTGACTGGATCCCTTGTGCGGCGCGAAACCGCGACGGCGGGAGTCCGAGCGTCTGGGTCCGCGCGCCGCGATGCCCGCTGTCTCTGGGACGGGGTCAAGATCATAGATCACCGGCGAGCGCCGTGCTCGGGCCCCGCACACGGCGCAATCGGACTGCGCAGCCGGAGCAAGGGCAAGGCGAGGAGCTAGAGCTAGATCCAGAGCCGGCCCCAAGCTACAGCACAGGTGCGATTTCGCGCCGCACAATGGACTGAGTCAATAGGAGAGGTCGAACGAAATTCGGAAACTTAAAAGCCTATAGCTCCGCTCATACAAAACTTTGAGGTTCCGAAAGTGGTTTCATTGGTCTCCTCGTGAATTTTTCTGTTCTAACAGAGTGTCAACAAGTCCGGAATTTCCCGAAAGTCCGGAAATAGTTCCGATTTTTTAAGGGCGGTCGAAACTACTGGAAAAGTGCGGAAATTCCGCTAGAAGGTCCGGAATTTTTGTTATTTTTGACCCAGTTTGAGCGAGGAATTCGAATTTCGTCAAACGAAGGTAATAAAAAAGTACTGAATTTTTCTGTTGCGGAGGTACTGAATTTCTCGGGAATGCACCGGAAAGGTACCGTAAAAGTACTGATTTTTGGCCAGCCGTTTTTTGTAGTCTGAAAGTTTGAAATGTAACGAAGTAAACATCAAAATTGGCAGTTTTAGTTGACAATTTCATGTACGACCGCTCTTATTGACTCGATCCACCGTGCGCCGCGCTCGCCCGCAGAATGTGCGCCGTGCGCGAGCTCATTCATTCGCTCCCATTCACGATGCGGCTCACGGTGGGATGGTGTCTGGTCGAGAGTGAAACGGAATCCATGATCGCCAAGACCCTCGCATCATCGGGGGAGGATCGGCCGAGAGCCGTGCTAAGGAAAAACGCCGCATGAGCCTTCAAACGTTGCAAAATTTCCTAAAAAAACCCTGAAAATCCTGTGAAACTTATCGATGTCTTCCTCCGAATTTTTAAGAGAATTTTGTGTGCGATTTGATCTTAAATATCTAAACATGCTCAAGAAAAGTACTCAACTATCCTCAAAAATTTATGTTTTATCGGAGGAAATTTGGCAATTATCGTATTTTTATGCGCTGTTTTTCCTCAGCACGGCAGAATGTGTTCGATGTCTGGTTGAATCACATGCTTTTAAAAGGGAACAATAAAAAAGATGAAAAATAATTACCAATCATGTTTCCCTTTAACCAGAGACTTAAGAGACCCTCCGCCCTCCTCTGGCCTCTTGGCACCAGGTAGAAGCTTTTATTTTTGAGATTTAGCACTCCCTTATTGACAATTATAAGGGAGCATCAGCCATTATCCTTTTTTCGGCTGTCGAGTTACCAATTCCTACCAATATAGGTGAATGATGAGCTTCGGGCGACGTCATAAGCCAAAAAACAAGTTTCCCAAACTTCGGATTGCTTGCGGAATGAAATTCTGCAGAACACGTTGTTATAACAAGCCACCTAGTGGGGTAGGTCAATAGTTGAATGAACAGGTGAGGCAGCGTTCCTCATCTTAAATCGATATTTTCAATGAATTCAAGTGAAGGAAAACCCGTGTTGCCAACTTTCAAGTATCGAAACTGCGTGGATTCAGCAATTCGGCAACAATGGATTCCTTCCATTTAAACCTATGCTAAATAATCGATTCTTGTTAGAGCGCGTGGCCCCTCCAAGAATAATATGTTTAAATGGAGAAAAAATTCCTGGATTGCCAATTTGCTGGATCCGCCAACGCGACGCTTCAATTGGTGTTGCTGCTCAAAATGTTTAACTACGTAATAATTTCGACATGCTCAGAAAATGTCTTTTAAAAAGGTACCAAAATTATTTTTACACAAAGAATTATACGGAGGCAGAGAACGACGTGAAAAAAAGTAACGGAACACCGATAACTAGGCAGTCATCTGGGTATGTAAAAACTTAGCTGTGTCCCAGTGAATCGTATTGTAAGACGTGTTGGTGAAGGTTCGTAACTCCTCATCTAAGTTAGAACCATCCGATTCATCAAATCTCTCGCCATTCAGAGCTTTTTCCACTCACAATCATATCATCTCCAAAGAAAATCAACCCATCTGTCACTTCTGTAATGCATCACCTCTAACCATCAAACACGTACTTATGGACTGCTCTGCCCTCAGATATCTCCAATCACAGATCTACTCCCCTACAATTAACAGAAATACAAACCCACTTACATGCGATGAACGCAATATTACTACCAAAATTCTGAAACTCTTCACCTCTCTTAATTTAAAAATCTAAATTTTCATATATACTCCCATTTTCAAAATTTTCTGTAAAGACGTTAACAGCCTGTGACGCTAAATGTCTTAAATAATACTAACCAACTAACTCTATTAGAAATACACAGATACGGCGCCATGCTCTTATTCCATCCAAGTCTAAAATTACGAATTCTATCTACCGGATCGGTCAGCTTATAAAAAATGATCAATGGTCCGGTCTGGACCGAGCGGGATACGTGACACACAAAAAATTCATAAATAAACAAAAGAATGCAATGATGCAATTCTGAGAGGGGTGGTGGGACCTGTCCGGTCTGCCGGGGTATGACAAAATGTAGAACTCGATACCCAAATTAGGGAAGAGGAACGAAAACCAGGTATTTTGATTTGCATAAGCTCAACGAGAACTTGTCGGGAACGCGTGCATATGGTCGGTTGAGAAGCCACTCAAATATTATTGGTCGTCGCTGGCTCTCTTCTCGACACTGAAGTTGTGGGATTGTATACCTGCGGGCTGATTTTTAAATTAATGGTCAAAGCTATAGACAAAATAGACAAAAAAAGTAGACAAAAAGCGATCCTATTGGTTGAAATGGTCGGTTCCTATAGACTAAGGGAGGGACTAATTATAGGGTCTCTCGGGGGTTGCCGCTAGTAAGTCAATTACCTACCTTCTTTGTCCATTGCAACCACCCGCATCCACCAATAGGATCCGTCCATATCCCTTTTGTCTTCCTTGAGTAGACCTTTGTCTATGAACTGTCTGAGCATTGTCTAATGTGAAATTTCGGGGTAGCCACATCCGGCAACCGGTTCCATATGACCCGAGTAGTTGAGACGTCTAAACAAAAACCGACAGTCTCCATTACCGTATCTAAAATGTGTACCATCATTAATTATTATAATTTAATATTAAAAGAACAAGAAAGCCTTCCTGTTCATGTTTTTTTGTGACTTTCTTGTTATCAAGCGAGAAAATTTTTAAAATGTTAACAACAGCTGGAAGTTTTGGTTGCTCCTCGTAGAAAATTAATATGATTGCTCAATTTCTAGACAGGGCAATCGGTATTTAATTGCCGGTGTTTTTCTCAGTTTTTCTTTGCCCTCAATCCCTATTGCTTAGTTGACTAATGGACGAGTGTCTAATGTGAGTTTTTGGTGTGATTTCAGGGTGACTACATCCGGCACCCGGTGCTGTACGAGCTGAGCCACAAGTACGGGTTCCAGACGGACTGCCTCCCGGAGGCCGGTCCGGGCCTCCCCGGGAAGCTGGAGGAGCTCAAGGAGCACATCAAGCGGGAGATCCGCAAGGAGCTCAAGATCAAGGAGGGAGCCGAGAAGCTCCGCAAGGTGGCCACCGACCGCAAGAGCCTCTCCGACGTCGAGTCCATCGTCAAGATGTCCAACTACAAGCTCGGCGAGCTCCAGGCCGAGCTCCAGGAGCTCGAGTCCCAGATCATCCTCACCCAGGGGCAAACCACCCTCACGCCCGTCCTCTCACGCAACCCCGCTTCACCCCTCGCCAACCACAACCTCAACGGACACGGTGAGTGCTACTTCGCTTTCTTACGGGGTTCAGGGTGAGTGCCGGAAGTATACCGGGATACTTTGAAATCCCGGGAAAGTTCAGGACAGGGTATTGAGAAAACAGCTCAGAGAATGAAACCTACATACTGAGAAATTTTTTTCTTGAGATATTATTTTGACTTAACGCGTCGTTTTTTGTCTACAACTTTTTTTTTAAAGTTAAATCCGTTTGGATTTAACTTGAAGTCAGCTTTTTGAGTTGAAGAATCGTTGTTTTGTATCTGTCTTTTTGACTTAAACTCAACGATAGCAAATCGACGCTTCTTTAACCCAAAAAACTGATGATGAGTTAAAAACTCACGGATTTAACTAAAACAGCACCAAATTTTGTCGACAAGAAACGACACTTTAAGTCAAATAATATATCAAGTACAATTTTTTTTTCAGTGTATGTTTCTTACACGAACCGAATCGTTGAGCAGACGATTTTGGTGTAGTAGACTAAACCCGCAGTCGAGCGAACAACCGCTTCAACCGACAGAACTGAAAGTCTGGTGAACCTAGGGTTAACTTTTACGTACTGAAAAACTTTGATTCACACGGAATGTGTTCTAACACTTGAAAAAAGTGCATTTGCATCTTGCTCTAAAACTGAGTTGACCTCCCCAGCAAACATGTTTAGGTTACCATCGTCACTTGTACAAGTAGATGCACACTGCACAGCCAGCTAGATGATCCACACTTGTGCCAAACTTTGAAGAGCAGGTCAACTCAATTACAGGGCGAGATGCAAAGTACTTTTTTCTCGCATACGCGCTAACATGCTGAAATTCCTTTGAATTATTTTCTTTATTTTTCCTTAAATTTAATCGTTCATTGAAAACCCTACCTATTGGGAAGAGAGTGGAGCCTACTTTGACGGTTCTGGCTTTTCAGCTAGGCCTTCAACTGTAGTTGATATGAGGAGTCGAGGACTTCAACATTCATCTACATACATACATACATACATGCATACATACATACATACATACATACATACATACAAGTCGCTTTACAGTACTCCCTCGCGCTCTACGACTCCTAACCTCCACTGCTCTCTTTCAAACCACAAATCTTGGGGGATTGAGCACCTTAACATTATGCTTCAATCCCTTCCCTCCAACCTTTCATTGGGCGCCCTCTGCGTCTTCTCCCAGGAGGAACCCAGTCAAGGACCTTCTTCGGCAACCTGTCTCCTGCCATTCTCTGGACATGACCATACCAAATGAGTTGTTTTGTCATAATGTCATGCACGATGGTCTGCTTGGCATCCATGATCTCCCGTACCGTCTCATTCCTGTCAACATTCATCTAATTATTCGAAAACCAGGGAATTTTTATAGAAAACTTTAACCATGACCAAATTAAACAGAATTCACGTCGAAGCTCAAGATTTTTTTGGTTTTTAACTCAATTTCTTTTGATTTTGTTGAAATGACAACACCGCTGTTCGGATCAACATGTCTGCAACGCTAGTGAAAAGCAAATAAACAGCCTCGTATGGTGTATATCGTAAAAGTCACGCTGAGAATGGTCCCTCGTAATCGCGACTGCCGCTGAAGCGCATACTTAATTGCAACTGTAAATCAGCAAAAAATTAAACGCCGTTAAATACGAACCACTTTAGATCTTGTTAAGGAAAAATCCAAGGTTTGGTTAGAGATGTTGTTGATTTCTTCAGCACCCATGATTACATATCATAATTTTTTTTCTTACCTCGACACCTGCTCACGGGAGCCCATATAGATCGTAGAGATTATTATTTGATAGCGCATAAGACAAATTAACAGAAAAATGTTTAAAGTCTATCTTAGTGTGCTTTTGAGTTTTTACGGGAAGTAAGGTTGGGAAACCAATAAGCGGACATACTTTAATCGGAAGCATCACGAATTACACCCTCGGTTTTAATCGAAAGGTCACATACTGAATAACGCCAAGCTGGATTTAAAGTTCAATAAATTCTGTCTGAGGCCCCTAATTGTTCCCTTCATATCTCAGTTTACCTATCCGGATCATTTTCCCTATGAGCTTTAGTCACAGACCTCTGATACGTAGAGACGAATGCTTTTAACTACTTCCTATGTCCATAATGCCTCACTCATCAGCATTTTTTTGCGCTTTCATCGTTTTCCGCAGAAAGTGAACTTACAACTTTACCTAACCATACTTCTGCTGAGGAATTTTCGTCCGAACCTGATGCAGCAACACCTGCCCTTTCAGTCATTATGCCGATTCAGTGTTGCCAACATGTAAAATCCTTCCTTACAATGAACCGTGTCGCATCAAAATCAAACATGTTACAAAAGTATTATAGTATTATTTTAGTGGCAAGGATGAATTTGTCAATCAATCAGAGAAAATTGCGAAAATTCTCTTAGCGATTATCCGTTCACAGTTTCGTTGGTCTACTCATCAAAATCAGTTCCCACTCTCGAGTTTTTGAACTTGGTTATTTTTCCAATTTGAAAGAATTCTACGCTTAAAATTCCTCCCGGAAATGATCTCCGTGCTCAATTTCTCGGAAAGTCACGAAATTTTCTCTCTCCTTTTCCTCTTCTTTTTCTTCCTGCATGTGTCTCGGGCATATGCCTTATTTTTCCAGCCAATATCGTATCAGACACGTGGAAATGCAAAAGGAATACACTTTATATAAATTGACAAAAATGTGTGTTTCCCATCAGACAGTGTCGTCAAAATTTACACGCAAACCACACTCTCATTTTCTGGTGATCGTCGCTTTGGCGGGCATCGAAGCAGTCCCCGCGCACGGAGAAAAAAACTTCGTGCGTGGGACCCGAAGTTTAGGTCGTATGGATCTGTGAAGTTTTCGGATTGAGCATCTGAACACTTTAGGTCCAGCTACTGAGGTTTGGATCACACATCTGAAACTTCATTTCTTACATCTTAAGTACTTCGGTTTCCACATCCGAAAAACTACGGTTCTCACATCTGAAAAACTTTGGTTCTCACATCTGAAGTACTTCAGATGTAAGAACTGGAGTTTCAGATGTGTGATCCGAACCTCAGCAGCTGGACTTAAAGTGTTCAGATGCTCAATCCGAAAACTTCAGAGATCCATATGACCTCAACTTCGGGTCCCAGCCACGAAGTTTTTTTCTCCGTGCGGTAAATCACGGAATTTCGCATTTCAGAACTTCGTGAAGGTCGGGTTGAAGTTGAAGTTATGAAATTTTAAAAGCTCAGGATATTCAACTCGGAACGAAACGCCCTCAATGTAACGATCTGGCGTCCCGGCATCGCGGCCTCATATGACGGTGAAAGTGTTAATCTGCGAACATTTACGTGTAATCAAATGCATTAATTGGCGGAAAACAATGCGAAACGCTTCAAATGAGCTCGCGATCCAGTCGAGCCGAGGAACCCCGATGATGCGACTCGGCGTTTCGCGTTTCGGGGAGGATCGCGGAAGGAGAGCCTGCTCCGTCGTCGTGGAACTTGGAAGTCGCGCGAGGGAAAAAAATTCGATCGAAACGTCACGTTTGCCCCGGCCGGCCACCTTTCTCCGCCACCGGAATGAAGCTTATCTGCTCCTCCGAGATGTTGATAATTATGTTGATTAATAAACGCCGCACATTGGACCGAGTCAACACACTGAAAAAAGATTCTCGGCGTTTTACCAAGGTCCGTTGGTACCTTTACCATCTCACTTTTTTACCAATTATTGGTAATTTCACCAAGACAGACTGGTAAGCTTACCTAAAAACCGGTATTTGCACTGTTTTTTTTCCAGATAAGAATACCACTTTTATTGGTGATCCATTCCCGGTAACTTTGCCATTTTATCTCGGTAATTCTACCACAGTCGATAAAAAATATTGGCGTTTTTACTAAGGTCAAGTAAAATCACCGAGAAAGTTCAATAATTTTACCGAGATTTCTCGGTAAAATTACCAATTCCATAAATGTTAATTTTACCAAGAAAAAACTGGGATCAAATAGAACTCTGAATTCTTGGTAATTTTACCCTTTTCTTAGTATATACACCGAGATTTTTTTTCAGTGTAGGAGGAGTCGGACAAACTATGGGAACTTTGAAGGCTACTATTGCGTCGAAAATATGAGGAAAAAAATATTATAAAATGATCCATTGCTTTTTACGTTGAATTTTCCCACAGGATCACCCCTTGATATTGAACTTGTGACGAAAAAAACATCACAATTTGAAATTTTAGCCAAGAATTCCATGCCCGACCTCGTCTATCAGGTCGATCCACCGTGCGCCGCGCAATGCGAAAGTCAATGCACTCCGGTGTTTTTCTACTTTTTTCTCTATTTTTTCCGCAGCTGATGTGAGTATGGTCAGTGATGAGTGCAGCGACCGATAGCGGTCTAGGGATCGCAACGGTTTTCTAGGAATCGGAATACTTTCCGCAGAAACTACGTTTGAAATAAAATTGAGTGCACGTCAAATTAATCCGCTATTTTGAAAAGAGTCGCTCAAAATCCGACTGTCTAAAGCTCCAAATAAAAGCTTCAAAAAAGGCTTTCAAAAGCTCCTGAAGAGGAAGTAAGTCAGGTCGGCTTTTCCATCCATTGAACTTCTGCCAAGTTTACACCGAAGATGTGCTTACATGCAAAAAAGTCCAAAAAATGCAATAAAAACGATTAAAAAAAAATTGGACTTTCGTCCTTTTAAAAATAGAGGATTCTCATAAGGTTATGCACTTTTAGACTTGTGATGTAAGATCGTCTGACTTCACTTTTACATTCGGAGTAAACTCAAGAAGTAGGTTGGCGGATCTTTTGTCGAATTCTCAAGTGGGGAGACTTATTTGGCGTACAGAGTCTACTGAAATTAAGACGGGGACTAGTCGGGAAACGTAAATTTTGCCTGCATTTAATGCACGCAGGCCGTTTCCAGAACGAAATTATCTATTGGAAGAGGAATATTAAAATCCAGCGTGCATTTCTGCCCGCCAATCACGTCATCAATCACTCATAAATTAAATGATTTATGTT